GTTTAAAAACAATTACAATGTTGAATGATTATATAGCTAAGCAAAACTGTCTTTTTACGTGTGTAAATTGATTTATGAGTTTCTGTTCTTGGCTTCCTAAAAAAACCTTATAAATATATAATACATATAGATGACAAATTTGAAACTATGCTCAATGTAGTTATTAATCAAAATTTTAAAATGTAAACACACTAAGTATCCAATTGTATGAATAATATTTTTTAAATTATTTTTTTTATTTTTTACTTATAGCTGGCATACGATATATATTAGTTTCAGGTGTACAATATAGTGATTAAACATTTATATAAGTTATTAAGTGATCACCCCAATAAATCTAGTACTCCTCTGACACCATGAATACTTATTGCAATATTATTAACTATATTTCTGATGCTATACTTTACTTCCCCATGACTGTTTTGTAACTACCAATTTGTACTTCTTAATCCCTTTCCCTATAACCCACCACCACATGCCCCTCTCATCTGGTAACCTTCAAAATCTTCTCTGTATCTATAGTTTGTTCTTGCTTTATTTATTTTGTCCTTCAGATTTCACATGTAAGTGAAATCATACAGCCTTTGTCTTTCTCTATCTGACTTACTCCACTCAGCATGATACCTGCTAGGTCTGTCCATGTTGTTGCAGATGGAAAGGTTTTATTCTTTTTTATGGTTGAGTAATATTCCATTGTATATATGTTCCATCTTTTCTTTCTCCATTCTTCCATCAGTGGACACTCAGGTTGCCTCCATATCTTAGCTACTGTAAATAATGCTGCAATGAACATGTAGGTTCATATGTCCCTTAAAAGTAATATTTTGGGTTCCTTCTCATAAATACCCAGAGGTGAGATCACTGGGTCCTTCCTTGTCTCTCGTTATAGCTTTTGTTTTCGTCTATTATGTCTGATATAAGTACTGCTATCCCCAATTTTTTTTCATTTTCATTTTTATGAAATATCTTTTTTCATCCCTTTAAGTCTGTGTGTCTTTTGATCTGAAGCGAATCTCTTGTAGGCAGCATATGCAAGGGTCTTCTTTTCTTATCTATTCAGCCACTCTATCTTTTGATTGAAGCATTACTTTTTCATTTGAAGTAATGATTGATAGATATGTAGTTATTGCCATTTTATTATTCATATTTTTGATGCATACTTTTTTCTTCTTAAAGAAGTCCCTCCATTTCCTGTAATACTGGCTTGGTGGTGATGAACTCCTTTACCTTTTTCTTGTATGGGAAGCTCTTTATCTGTTCTCGATTCTAAATGATAATAGTGCTGCTAGGTAGAGAAATCTTGATTGAAGGTCCTTGCTTTTCATTACTTTGAATATTTTGTGCCAATTCCTCCTGGCCTGCAAGGTTTCTGACAAGAAATCAGCTGACTATCTTATAGTAGCTCCCTTATATGGGAACTAACTGCTTTTCTCTTGCTGCTTTTAAGATTCTCTCTTTGTCTTTAACCTTTGACATTTTAATGATGATGTCTCTTGGTGTGGGCTTCTTTGAGTTCATCTTGTTTGGAGCTCTCTGAACTTCCTGGGGTTATATGTCTATTTCCTTCATTAGGTTAGGGAAGTTTTCTGACATTATTTCTTCAAATAGTTTTTTAAGTCCTTGCTCTTTCTCTCTCTCCTCCTTCTGATACCCCTATAAAATGAATGTTCATATACTTGATGTTTTACCAGAGGCCCCTTAAACTATCCTCATATTTTTGAATTCTTTTTTCTTGTTGCTGTTCTAACACTGTGTCCTTCACTACCCCATCCTCTATATTGCTGATTCGATCCTCTGCTTCATCTAAACTAGTATTGATTCCTTCTAAATTATTCTTCATCTCAGTTATTGTATTCTTCATTTCTGACTTTTTAAAATGTTTTCTATGTCCATTTTTATGTTTTCTATCTCTTTGTTAAAGTTTTCACTGAGATTATCTACACTTCCCCTGAGTTCATTGAGCATCCTTATAACCAGTGTTTTGAACTCTGCATCTGGTAGATTGCTTGTCTCCATTTTGGTGAGTTCTTTTTCTGGATCTTTGTTCTCTACTTTTATGTGGGATATGTTTCTTTGTCTCCCCATTTTGGTTGCCTTGTAAGAGTAATTTTTTTAATAAATTGTGCATATTCTTGGAGATTATTCAATTATAATAGAAAAGCTCACAGTAATATAAATTAAAAATAGTTTGGAATCATATATGTACTATGATTCCAAAAGCAATATAAACATATTGTCATAGAAAAACAGTATTAAGTACAGAAAAAGAGTAGTAAACTTTTTTCAATATGTTTCCTTTTTCATCTAAGACTAAGTTCTTTTATAGCTTGCTTTCGATATGTTTGCTGCTCCTCTTATTTTTACAGGGTTTTCTGTGGGGTGAATATGCTATTACAACTTTGTCACACACGAAGCATAGCATATTATATTTTTTATTTTATTGTATTTATACTTTTCTTCTTAATTATGTTAGCACTTAATTTGTTGTGTATGGTAAAAAAAATTTTATTGAAAAATTTTACATTTAAAGATTTTTAAATTTTGTCTTTGTATTGTTTTTATTACTATTTCCTTCCATATATTGTGTGCCTCCATTACTTCACACCTGGTTTTCTTTCCATTTTTAGCTCTTTGTTTTATTAAATGTAATATTTTGTGTTATAGAGACCATATTTTATTTAAATTGATTTAGATTCTGACATATGTATGTTTTTTTCCCTGTGTCATGTATTTCTGGGTATTAAGAAGTAATACTTTTATTTCCCTCCACCTTTATTGAAATATAATAGACAATTAGTTGCTTGTATTTACATTTCACACTTCAATGAGTTTTTTTTTCCAATTATAGTTGGCATACAATAATATACCAGTTTTAGCTGTATAGCATATTGATCAGAGATCTACATAACTCGCAAAGTGATCACCCCACTAAATCTAGTACCCCACTTCCCCCTTACATATTTGTTACAACATTATTAAACATAAAAAGTAATGCTTTTTAAGTGTGAGTTTTCCTGTAGAACTTTTTCTCTCTCTGGATATTATAAACAAAAGCTTGTATTCCTAAACATTATCCATTAGGTTCCCAACTTTCCCTTCCACTACTGAAGGCAAAATTCACATAAGAAAATTCTACCAATTTGTGCTTCTTAATCTCTTCCCCTTTCTTACCCATCCCCAATCCCATTTCCATCTGGCAACCATCAAATTGTTCTCTGTATAAGTTCGTTCTTGTTTTGTTTGTTTGTTTTGTTCTTTATATTCTGCTTATAAGTGAAATCATGTGGCATTTGTCTTTCTCTGAATTACTCAGTTCAGCACAATATCCTCTAGGTCCATTCACGTTGCTGTAAATGGCAAGATTTCATTCTTCTTTATGGCTGAGTAATATTCCATTGTACATATCTACTACCTCTTCTTTATCCATTCATCCAAAACAGTCATGAAGATGAAAAGTATAGCATAAAGAATATCATAAATAATATTGTAATAACTATGTACAGTGTCAGATGAGTACTAGACTTATTGGGGTGATCACTGTATGTTATACAAATGTCTAATCATCATGTTGTACACCTGAAACTAAAAGAACACTGTGTGTCAACTGTAATTAAAAAATAAAGTTATTTTAAAAAAGAAAATTCTAGAAGACAAATTCGACCAGGCTTTTAAGCCTCTTCCTTCTGTTAAATTAAATATTTATCATTTTAGTTATTATAAAGACCTCTAAGAGGTGTAAATTGGACAGGCATCCCTGATTCATTCAGAAAATTCTTATGCTTTTTTCCTTATGTGTGCAGCCATTTTGCCTTCAGTCTAGTCTTTAGCAGTAGACAGGTCCAAATTTTATCCTCAGCACTTGTAGACTGAAAACAACATTCTGGTACAAAGATGAATTTTATTGAGCCTCAGTTTATTTTTTATTTTTTGTCATCATAAGTCTAAATCACATGAATGCCCACATAGATCCTCTATGAATTTTACTTTTGTTTTTATTGATATTTCCATGCTTTTTTCCCCTGTGGGTGTCATTATGAAAGATGGAAGTAGCAGTAATATTGTAGATTAAATCAAGTTTTCTCTACTTGCACAGTTCTCTTAAAATACTTGAGATTGACAGATTGATAAAGTTTACTCCCTTTGGAGAGGGACAGACAAAGAAAATGATGCACATTCTGTCTTACTTTCACTCAACTTCTAAACACTTTAAAGGAAGGGGCGATTAAACTAAATAATACATGAAATGATCTGCTTAAAAAAAGCTTATTTTTTATACTTTAATAAAAATAATAAAGTCATAATTTAGACCACAATCATAATCAGTGTGTCACAGTTTTTAATTATATTTGTGTTTCTATAATATAAATGAATCAATATATTGAGACTTGTTCATTCTCCGCTTTAAACTGACATTGTAAGAAATTATTCATAGATTACTTCCATGTGTTAAATATATATATATATGTATGTATGTATGTATGTATGTATGTATGTGTATATATGTATGTATGTATGTATGTATGTATGTATGTGTATGTGTATGTATATATATATATATATATCGTGTGTGTGAAAATGCAGATAATAAGGCATGTTTTATCTTTTGTGGGAAAATATATCATGAAACAATTAATTTTGCCAAGAAGGTGAGATGGATGGTGTTTCAAGAAAGCTAGAGACTACAGAAAACAATTCAGTTGAGTTTTTAGAAATAAGGAGAGATTTACCAGTAGTACCAGTACTCCAGTGTAAAATAATTTGTGCATGAAAGTTGATGGTATGGTTGAGAAAGTACGAAGAGTTTTCTATAGATACAGCACAGAATCTTTGAATTCATAGAAGAATGTTTTAGAAGAATGAAACAGCATTGTGGCTTGAGTATGTTAGCTTTTTACAAGGTCTCTGTCTTTCACTGCTCCATATGGCATTGTATAAGAGAACAGTATTTAGACCAAATAGACCATGAGCTAAAAATCATCCACTAAAGTTATATCTATAGCTCACAACCTTTTTGAACCAATAGCATTTGCCATTACCAGTGTCTTCAAGGCCCCTTTTACATCTTTGTTTCTCAGGGTGTAGATAATGGGGTTTAAGAGTGGGGTGACTATCGTATAGAAAAGGGAGACAAACTTTCCCTGGTTTTTGGAGCTACTTTTAGCTGGCTGAAGGTACATAAATATGATGGTCCCATAGAAAATGATGACCACAACCAGGTGGGAGGAACAAGTCCCAAAGGCTTTCCAGCGTCCTGCTGCCGATTTGATCCTCAGGACGGCTTGGGTTATAAAGCCATAGGACACTAAAATGAGTGACATGGGGACAATTAGAAAGACCACACTTGCCACAAAGAGCTCTACCTCATTGAAAGTTGTGTCCACACAGGCCAGTTTGATGAGCACTGGAACCTCACAGAAAATGTGGTCTAATTTGTGATGACCACAAAGGGGAAGCTGCACAGTAAGGGAGCACTGAATTAAGGAGGTGACGAGACCACTGAGCCATGCTATGCTGGCCAGGGATACACAGAGGTGAGGGTGCATAATGGTTGTGTAGTACAGAGGCTGGCAGACAGCAGCATAGCGGTCATAAGCCATGACTGCCAGAAGAATGCACTCGGAGGAACCCAATCCCATGGCCACATAGAGCTGGGCCACACACCCACCATAGCTCATGGTCTTGTCTTTCTTATTCATGGTAACCAGCAACTGTGGCGCAACACTGGTGGTGAAGCAGATGTCCACGCAAGAGAGATTGCTGAGGAAAAAGTACATCGGAGTGTGGAGTTTGGGGTCCAGACAAGACACCAAAATGATGGCAGTGTTACCCAGAAGGTTCAAGATGTAGAAGAGCAAAATTATGACAAAAAGGACCCTCTCTAGCTGGGGCTGATCTGAAAATCCCAGGAGAAGAAATCCCTCTTCAGATGTGTTGTTGCTGCTTTCCTCCATTGCTGTAGATGTCAATTCATAGCAGGATTAATATTCTGGAGGATGAAGGTGACGAAGCAAACATTGGTAAGCTGTGATTGTTTCCAATATGATTTTATAACGTTCAGCCATGTTTAAAGACTGAAAGCACTTTCCTCGATATACTTCATTTGACATGAAATGCCTCTCCTTCTGTTTCTTTGAAGCAGATTTTACTCTTTCTAATGGGAACAACTCAAACACTATCACAATGCCCTCTCGTTTCTGTCTACAATCCAAGAGGCCATCATCTGTCTCTCACTTTTTCCTTGCAGAGATTTCTTTCAATTGAGTGATGTTTATTTGTGTGACTATTCTACCAACTTTGGTTTGATCCTCCTAGAAGAATCTGCCACCATGTATTTTAAAAGTGTACAATGGCCAACAGATATGGAGGTGGAATTAGGAAAAAGAAAACTTAGGTGTGTGTGTGTAGAGAATATAGTTCAGATATTGGTAGTGACGGTGCATCTCAGGTATAGCGAGGAGTCTGAAGTGATGTGGCAGAGAAGGAGACTGATGAAGAGATGGACTTGAGCACTTCTGACCAAGAGGAGATGAGACGCAAGTTAGCATCAACCCAATGTCCATTCATGATCCTGGACACTGGTATTAGCTTCATGCAGTGTTTGAGCTGCTGACATCTTTAACTAAATGTCCAGACAGCAATCTCACACACACATTATCTCATAGTGTCTCCTTCACTTCCCACCATCTTCTCTTCACTTATCTCCTTTTGAATTATTTTCCATATTGTAGTAATCAGGAATGAGTTAGAGAAGTGGTTTACCTTGGTTCTCTTTGGTAGATATTACCCTTTGGAACAAAGGCTTCACATATTTCCCTTTTAAAACCCAAATTCTAAAATATTAACTTTTGAAATAGTTTAATGCTGCTTATAGTCACCTAATCATTATTATTTTGTTTGAAAAGTTAATTTAAACATTTTAAATTTTAGTATATCATATTTGAACTTTAAAAACATATAAATTTAAAAATAGCATTTGCTTATATTTTCATCCAAATATGATCACTATTAATTTCTTAGTATACTAGGAGAAAGAGCTTAGTGATGCTAAACGAACTTTCATCCCCTCATTCTTTACTTAATCATCTCTATTTTAACAACAACTTACATGTTTATATTTATATTTACAATAGGTATAACTGTTAAATCAGTAGTCATCAAATTATACTGTAATGATTTCTTAAAATAAATGTGTCTATTTATTCACCTTTATACCTTACTCTAAACTGTGCATACTTACTTACTATATACATTAAATCTTGGGGATTTTTTTGGTTTATACTATATAAAAAGCTAAAAAAAAAACAGAAAAATTATCTTATTTTCAAAGATTGTATACATATCAACGTGTAATAATAGTGTTACTTAACAATTGTTTTATTATTTGTCAAAAAATTAGTCGTGGTTTATTACTATAATTGATAATATTACACAAAGTTGCATGCATTTTCCTATACTGTGATTTATTTATTTTAAAGATTCCCAGAAATAGAATTATTGCCAAAATATATGAAATTAATATAGTTTGTAAATCTTACAAAGTGTGATAAATGCTTTTTTCCTGGAGAGTTTGAAAGCTCTCCATGTCAACTAATTATGAATAAATTTTATTATTTTTAGCCTTTACTGTAATTTTTGAATAATATTGTTCCAATACTTATTTTAAAGATGAAGTTATTTATTATTTGTAATTACCAAATTTTGTTTTACTTATTCATATTTTCTCCATTATTAAATTGATATATTTGCATACTAAAATAATATACTTATGCAGCAAAGCAACTGACTTCCTCTTTTTATGCAAATATTTTATTTCAAGATATTATCAAATACCTGACCAATATTAGAAAATTATAAAAGTGATATTGCAAAATGCCAAACCACAATAAGATGCAGAAAAAAAATGAAATGTATGTGTATATTATTTCATATGTATAATTGTGTGCAAATATAAAATCACATCAGAATCCAGTCAAAATAAATGAGAAAAATAAGTAAAACAGAAGACTTACACACACTCAACCATACCTGGTCAATGCACATCAAGGGCAAAACATTTGGCACACATTTTCATGCAAAGGGGCATGCCATGACACATACAGTGAATCTGCCCTAACTTTGGCACTTCAAAAAGAAAAAAAAGAAAAACAGATGTTTTGATTGTATCTATCTTCATTAATGGAGATGAAGATAATAAAATATTAAACTTGTATAGGTCATATTTGTACAATTGTGATTGATTCATTTATAGCATACTATTGAAAATTATATACATATGTTACATTATTATTTAAAATATGTGTACATGAAATATTCATGGGACACTGCATTATTAAGGCAATACATGCATATCTGAGTTCAGAAGCTGTGGAATTTAAGACTGTCTTTCCTTAAGGCAAGGTAGAAACAAAATAGTATAAAATCCCTCTGAGATCATAGAATCATAAAAAACAGAATTTTTTTGAACCAGAATAGTGTACAGAAAAAGGAAGAAATTCTTTGGTCCTAAAATCACTTTGTTCCTGCCCTAAAGCATTAATTGTTAGTTTTGCTAATAAAAGATAGTAGATAAAAAGAATTTTCAGGCTAAGTGATAGAAGTACATGCTAAGCAATTATGTACTGAGAAATATTATATAAATTATATAAATATGTGTGTGTACCTGCCAATGTGCCCTCATCACCTCCCCCATTTCCCTGTCCCAGTAATCCTCATCTACCAGCAGCTCCAAGCAATACTCAGCTTCCCTGGAATCATGGGGTACTTCCCAGGAGGCTCACTTATTTCAAGTATCATGGAGAACACTGGGGAATTGGAAAGGCAATACTACCTAGGGTCAGCCTGAAACAAACAAACAAACAAAAAGTGAGATGAGGTTTACCAACCAGTGTACAGATCTTGGTGATAGCATCATGTCCCTGTTGGTAAACCCTGCCTGCCCAGCAAGCATCTTCATTCATCTGTGGAGCCACACTGCAGTCCCGTGTGGTCAGTAGGCACAATCAGCAGATCTGCTAACTATGGTCCCTAGTCAGTGGTCCAGTCCACCCATGCAGCTAAGCCTGTGACCCTATGTGAGGGCAGAGCAGAGACAGCAACCCTAGTCAAACACATATCCCAGCCTGTACCCTGATCCAAATGTGGGGCATAGCCTGAGACTCTATACCACCTGGAACCTCAGGCAGTGACCCCATCCAACCAAGCACAGCCAGTGAGCCTCTTAATTATAGATTCCAGCCTGAAACCCTGTTCAAATGCAGAGT